GTGAAGGATATATGGGGGATCTTCGTCTTGGTATGCACACCTGTGTTGTTTCAAAAGTGACCTATGGCATTTTACTCAAATTTTTCCCTTTCTGCTCACCCCAAACTTTTTTTACATGTTTCCGCAGAAAAACAATTCTGTGAGTTTAAATATCCGTGTCCTTGTGTGTTGTAGAGTTGTCCACCTTGTGGCTGCAAATGCAACAACACATCTTTTGCTAAATTGGCATACAGGTTGGAATTTGACACTGCAATTTCCCTTGTTAATCCACTCCTAGTATAATTGACAGTCCTTTTGTTACTGTACTGCTAAATGAAGGACTCTACATGCCATGTCGGTCATGTGAGGGTGTTTTTGCCATACTTCACCATGCAGAGCGGTGCTTGATGGTGAAGTGGAATTGGTGGGGGTGTGGGGCCTGGTACAGATATAATTCGTTACTGATGTCATCTGAGACCACGAATTGAACTGAGGTTTCCAGGCTCATAATGTAACATGCTTAGAAAGTGTGATGGCAGGATACATTTTAAATGATTTAATCCTGTGTTCTAACTGTGGTTACATAACTAATTGTTTAGAAGCTTGAAACACCTGCTTTCCCTTATTTACGCCTCTACAACACATTTCTTAAAAAGTATAAACAAGATACATTTACGATATTCCTAGCATCTGTGATATTATGTCTTGTCCGCTTCGTGAGACCAGCCACCTCACAATGAGCTTTTGTCTGAATGTTTTTTCAATCAGAACTCTGTTTGCACATATACATGTACAACCAGAGTTCTGTGTGATTCGCCCAGGAAGTCGGCATTGCTCATGATTGTGATCGTCCTCGTTGCAGGCGGAGATGAAGAAGGCTTTCCAGCAGCGTGGTTACGTCGTCTGCGACGTCGTGCCCTACGACCCCAGCACCAAGGGCAGCACGACTTCAACCTGACACCCCCGAAAGAGGCGGGGCGCACTTGCCAACCGCACGGCCGCCGTGCCTCTCGTCTCCAGCTGATGTCACTTGAAGCTTTTATCTGCATTGCCCATCGCCTTACAATTATCGGAACCGTTGCATGCATCTCAGAAGCGTTTGTCTCGGAACGGCATTCAATGGGCGAGTCCTGATTAGGCCCGTTCTCTTGGCACCATTGCGATGCAGCTGTGCTCCTGAAATTTCTCAAGATCCATATGTGTAGAAGTCGAGTCCAAGTGTGATTGCATGCTCATTGAGCATTTAGACAGTGCTCATCTCCTGCCTACAACCCATGAGCCAATGGTGGAAATTCCACATTGCTATGACGGGGACGAGTCTATAGAAGAAAATCAATGTTGACTAATTCTAGATTTGAAGTTGACTACCCCCCATAGTGGCACTCTTTCTATTGACCCTGGATGGACAATGGCTGCCGAGTCAACCTCCAAACAGGATTTGAACTTGCAACCTTCTGGTGTATGTATTGCATGTTGAACTTCTTTCGCACCATACTTAACCAACCATGAGCCACTTGCATGCCAGGTGAGCCGCCAGGATGGTTGATGTCGGCAAGGTGCATCTGTAATATGTAACAACTTAAGAGTCGTGAAACTCAATTGTTTTACCGCCAATGGTACACAAGCACAAAGTGGTCACTTTTTGTTTGCTCTTGATAGTTTTTTATCACATTTTTTCGCGCAGTGTTTAAGCTGAAGCCATTATTTGTCAACCTCATAACTCTCTTTGGTTCTTTCGGTAAAGTCACGTATAAAGAAAAAAAATATAAGATTGAACCTCATTATAACTTTAGCTGAATGTTAATCATTTGAGTCTGTGACTTGAAAAGTGCGCCAGAGATAATCTGTTTTAAGCGAGCATTAATTACTTCACGCTTCTAGAGATGTCGGTCGTGTTCATATTTGACGAGCACTGGATTAGAATGAGACCAGTGATCTGTGTGATGGGAAATTCACTGAAATGTAGTTTTTTTCAAAATGTGTTGCAGCCAATATTTGGCAATACGTTAATGAATAAGGCGCTTGAGCCCATGAACACTCAACACTTCAATAATATTTTGCATAAGATGCAAACACTTTTTTAATACTATAATTACAATAAATTAAGTTTCACTTATCAGATGTACACTTATTTTCATTTCAAGTTGCTAATGTGGTGGGCAGAATTGCTGCTGTATGAAGCATTACATTGTACGTGCGTTGCCTTTTTTTCCCAATGTTGGCTCTGGTGAAGTGGACGATGCGATGCAATTTGCATTTAGATTTGGAATTACAATACGTATTTATGTCGTGTATCTGCCAACCCAACTGATTGAAACAGTAGGCGAGTTTGATTCTGAAATACTTTTACTGCATACTGATTTTCAAAGCTATTCATTGCCGCTTTGTAATAATAAAAACTAATCTGTGATGCTATTTTCGTTTTGAAAATCAGTTTGTGGTACATTGGTTTAAAAACAGCCTACCGCGTAAAGCTGTAGGATTGACAAGTTAGATATACTAAGTGCAGATCCATATCAAGACGCTAAACAAAACCCAGCCGTGCACAACACAGCGAAGCCACAGAACACGAGATCCAACGTTTTAATGTATAACGCTTCACACTGCGTTACTGAGCACAGCGATGTAGACTTCTTTCAAAGTACAAATGCACGTGTAAAGCCTAATTGTCAATCCACGGCTGTATGAGGGCATCACCATGCGCCTGCGTAGTGATCAACTTCCAAGACACGTCGTGGAGAAGGCTTCTTTTTTATTATCACACTTTAAGCACAACAACTGGGCGATACATCTATGCGACGTTCTACGTAGCTACACAGAGCCGACCCTTCTGCACAACGGCATCGTCGGCGTCCAACTACACAGCTGTGTGACTAGTGCAGCGACGGCGACGATGAGAGCCTCGCAGAAGATCGGCCACGTGGCCGGACGACGAAGAGAGATGACGGCAAGCAACGACGCAGCCAGGACCCAGGACCGCAACAGCACCGAACCTCTGTGCTGTTCGGCCCCTCTTATATACACCCTGGCGCAGCCAAGCCACGCCCCTGGCCACGCCCCCTTCCAGAACCTTCGAGCAGGTTCCCGACTGACTCCGCCTCTCACCTTTACCCCAGACACGCCCCCCTCATAATGAGACATTATTACGTAACTTGCCCATAACGCATTACCCCTTCAGGCCGACAGGTGGCACCCTGTCATTACACTTGTGCAGGTCGTGAGGGTAATTGACCATGCTTCACCACGCTGGTCGATGCATTGTTATGCACTGCCCTCTTTTACACCACCACGTGGCCCCGCAGCCTATCATCAGAATATTTATAGTGGAGGAATGCGATGAGCTATAAAGCTCTTTTTTCACAGATGTCCAGAAGGGGTAGGGGGTAAGAACGTTACAACAACAAACATTACAAAAACATGATAGGAGTGCAAAGTACACTAAAGGTAAACAAATCTCCCAAACACAACACAACCATCTTCATCCTACCAGGCAAAGCCCACCGAAGTATTAACTTATTGTTCAAAAGCGCCGTGGCCATAAATGACAGCAAAGTGGCTTATCATTTGGACATTTATAGTAGCAAAATAATCTCGTCTAAACGCATGTTTACGATGGTCACCCATCCAAGCACGTTCGCGCTCGGGGCTCAACCATACTTTAGTTTCTCAGGTCAGTTCACGTCGGAAATATTTTCGGTACGAAATTTGGTCACTGGCAAACGTACACGTAAAGGTATATCCATTAAAACTTGATTTGGAGCTTTCGTCACTGCAGGAATTACTCTTTGGTTCTTTCGGTAAAGTCACGTAGAAAACATTATACACGAGGCTGACGGGGCGCGCCTTAATTGGCATGCGCCTTGTAAGCTGATAGCCAAAGGGTATTGAATTCACGTCCGTGCTCGTGTGTGCATGCATCGCGTTAGTAGCAGCAGCCTGTGTGCCAGCACCACCACGCAGTGGTCCTGTCCGCTCGTGTCGAGGGGGCAGCGTTGAGCGCCAATGTCGTGCTGTGTGCAGCTCACGATGATCAACCAGCACGGCTACTCTGCTGTTGAGCGTTGATGTCGTCTGCGCCGTCTGTAACTTGAGTAGAGACCTACATCCTCATCAGCTTGGAATTGCTACAGCCATTGCCCTGCCCTTTAATGCAGCTGATTGTCCGTACCTTTTTGCCTTTGTCTAATATCTACGTGCTCGCGAACAGCACTTGCCCCAACAGTCTGTTAAGGCTGTACGGGGGATCTTTGTCCTTGTTTTGTGTGTTATTTATGGCAGCATCTGCCCCCACCGATGTGGGGTTGCCTCCACCGGGGAATCATTTTCTCCGTGGTCGTGGTGGTGCAATGGTTCGTGCAAAGCCAGCAACACCGGGCGTCTGATGAGGTTGCTTCCCGGCCATGAGGGGCCGTCCATAAATGACGTCACGCGATTTTGGACGATTTTTGACCCCCCCCCCCATCGTCACACGGCGTCACAAAAAGTCAGACCCCCCCCCCTCAAATATGACGTCACAAAGCTCTGCCCCCCCGCCAAATAAAACATGCTTCAACTAGCTTTAGATTATTGTCATTGTAGTGCGTATTTAATGTGGCGCTGCACTCTGATGTTGTAGGAGAAAACATTTATTTAAAAAGTATATTTAATTAAGTAGAACGTGTTGTCTATATTTATTAAAAGTTGCGCATTTTTATGTGACGTCACATTTCTCACCCCCCTCGTCACACATCGTCACAAATGTCTGACCCCCCCCCTAGGTGCGTGACGTCATTTATGGACGGCCCATGAGCAGCATCAGTGGGCGAGTCATATCAGAACCGGTCGTGGACCTCCCCTGGGTCAACTCAGCCCTAAAATTTGTACCCGCTGCAATGTGTAAACATCAGCGCTAGTGAGACAGAGGTTGTCCCGTGTGTGCTATGCAGCCTTAATAGGTGCTCGCTAACTCCACTTGCTAACAGCTAGTGTTGACTATAACATGGGGGGTGGGGTGGGTGGGAGCATTGTGTGCTGTGCAGGCGTCGGCAAATGACGCGTGTTCTGTTAGCGTTGGTCCCAAAGCCCCTTGGTTACGGTTAAAGTCTCGCCTTATCAGACTGCACACAGTCTCGCCCGAGACTGCTTCTACACAAAGTCGGTAAGAACTTTACAAACATTTTGCCACCTCTATCGACTTCCATATATGTTTTCTCGCAGTGGGATTTTGTTTTTGTTTTAATATTTTTCTTGCCAATTGTTCACACTGTGAGCTGAGAGCTGAGCTGCGGTAGACTTGCCAAAGTAGCCAACAACAATGTTTTATTGCAGAGCTATTCTGTTTTTAATTGTGAAACAGAGCAGGTGACTTGGCAGGCTGGAAATAACTAAAGCTTCGCTGGTATGAGGCTTTATAACGTGTCTTAATGTTTGATAATTAAAATGTACTCCCTAATACTTTTCGTCTGACCAAATCACCCTGATTTTGACCCCATCTCATCAAAGACCGGATGCTAAGCAGTGTTAGGCCTGGTGAGTACTTGGTTGGGAGACTGTTAGAAAATTCCAGGTGTAGATTTGCAGAGGTTCGATTTGTATACCCACTCGTATGCATGTAGATTTTCGGAGTATTCAATTTTCCTCCCATACACTCATTGTTGGACATGTCCAACCATCCCTATGCAAGACACTCCTGAAAATGAATCTTGATTTTCAGACTTTGCTGTGTAAATATAGGGAATTATTCCTGTAAACCTCTGATTAGCACGGTCGGCTACGTACGGTGCGAAAGAAGTTCAACATACATACGTATACACACTCCCGAATTGTTTCTTAACATCTTAATATGTAGAGGACTACAGAGCAGCACCAACTCGCTGCTTGGCGGCTGCTGCCTTCCAGTACGTCTCTGTTTCCTGCGCGATTGTGAGATGCAATTTGCTTGAACGACGACCGTATATTTATATCTAACAACCATACATTTATACAGATTATCAGATATCTAGAAATGAAGTCTGACGAGCTATATCATCACGATCCATGGGCGGAGAGCCCATAGGTGTCCACTGCACATGTCGTCATTTGTTGTTTCCACTTTCCTCTCCGTCTTGTGCCAATATGCTCAAGCAGTGGCCACATCTTTCTGGCACCGACGTCTTGTGATGTCCTCGTCAAGCCACTCTCTGTCAGCTCATCATTCCTTCTTTCCGGTTCTATTTTTCCAAACAGCACACTGTTAATTGTCTTTGTTATCCATCCTACATCGGAGTCCAAATAGGTCGATTTTCCGCATTACTTTCTTCATTAGGTCTTCTTCCATAATGTGCGTTGATTACCATATAAAGTAAATAATCTAACCGGTGATGGATAGTCATTTATATTAGCAATAGTCATTTATATGCATTCATTAATTCCCCCCCCCCCACTTCACGCAAGAAGTTGCTCACAAATGGTGTCACCACACCTGCCCCTCTATTTAAGGAACGAAACAGGAGGATTTCTACACAAATCTGGCTGTCGCCTGATGAAGCTAGTTGTAATTACTGGCGAAACGTCATACTCAGATTGTAAGTGTTGTGGCTTGGCTCTCCAACACACCGGTTAGTGCTGTACCAGTGACGAATTTGCATCTTCTGTGGACGTTACAACCCTTACTAGTTGGCTGTGTCGGTGGTGGCGGGTTTAACGACACATTTATTAATGCGATCTAACCCAATACCCCTGCATTGTGTCTTCTTCCATGTTGTCTTCTTCCAGGTCGCTCTTCGGGCCCAGCTGAGATGCGGTGCCCCTCTGCAGCAATACATTGAGAGTGCCGATATCTTACATTGAGAGTGCCGATATCTTACATTGAGAGTGCCGATATCTCAGCCCTGCCCAAGTCTCGCGTGCACACGAGGTGACCGCCTCCCGCTGCTGGAGTGCCCATGGCACGTGCACAGCAGAGGGACTCGTGGTGACTCAAAGCCACGCGGTGGATTCCTGTTGCTGTGGTGACGGCAAGCCCGTGGAGACGCCAGCCACGTGCTGCCAAGACGCCAGCCACGTGCTGCCAAGACGCCGTGCTGGAAAGGTGATCGGGGAGGGGTTTAAACCTCACACTGGGCTGGCTCGCGGCCCCAGTAAACGTGCAACGTTGAGCCAACGTCGGTGCAACGTGTTCCAACCACATGCCGAGCGACGCTAGCCCAACGTTACAGGTTTACGTGGGGAATATCCAAACTCCTTCTGGACTTGAATGACAATATGGGGGGGGGGGGGGTGATGCTGCGTCTGCTGCGTTCACAGTGGTGTACCAGCACAGATTACACAAAGGTTCGATGCCTTCGTGGGTAACTCTGTGGCCTTAACAATGAAACGTGTATGATCCAGTGACGGGCATCCATCGCTTTCTTTTACATCGAAAGGAAAATGAAGCAGCTAAATGCAACCGCTTAGACCGAATCGATTATGTAAAAGTGAGGAACCAAATATTGACCTATTTCTCAGAATGCTGTATTGTTGTTTACTTTGACGAAAACGATTCTAATAGATGTATTTTCTTAATTCATAAACCGGTCTATCGCATGTAAAAAAAAACATCTGACTTCGGTAGTGTTCATAGTTGGGCGGGAATGATGCGTCGATTAATCGATATACATCGATGGTAAATCTCACTTGACATCCATCAATTCACGTTAGAATCGATGGTCTTCAATTCATGTCATCAGTTCACGTCACCCCTGCAGCTACTAGAGGCGCTGCCATTCACCGCAATGTTAGCAACATTGTGGGTGGCTCAATTACAACGATTCATCGAATTGTGATATTTTTTTTGAACAGCGTTTAACAACGGTGGCTGGTTCCAGTAGTTGACTGAATGAGTTCTGTTTGAAAATAACTAAATGAGTAATATGCAATTTTTTACAGAAATGTTAATTGTATAAACCAAAGCTGTCACTCTCGTAAGGATACTAATGACAGCCCATTCTCAATCAATTGCTGAATGATGGCCTCGATGTGTGTTGTTTGACCATACTTCACCATTTTTATCAGTATGGGTTGGTAAACCCAGGATCAGTTCAGATATCACTCGCCACTAGCAGGTTTTCCCTTTATAGATAAACACAAAATAAACACATTCGTCAATAATACTGTGGCCTGAAAAAAAAACTAGGCGATGTTTCGGGCAATGACCCCTCTCCATATCACAAAGATATGTGAGTTTGGTTTAGTATTCCAAGGGCCTATTGCTTGAAGTGTAACTGACATTTTACTTTCAAGGAAGTTTTAATAACAAAAGTTGTTTTTGTTAACACTGCATGGTGCATCACTGCCAACAGCGTATCCCCCAACAATCCCTTTACAGATTGGCACATTCCAAGTTAAACCCCTCAACATTTGCGCAGATCTCGGGAGTTGGAGCGTTCCATGTCACATGTGGGGGACGGGGGTCCAGGGGAGTCCTGTATTGGTCCTAAATTGAGCAGCCGTCGGCAAATGAATCTCCGGTATTTAAACCGGCAACTTGTCATGTTTGTGGCTGAAATCCGGCTCTTTAAAGGGCAAATATTCCAGTGGTGATGGCCCCACTCTCTGACTCGACACGTGGCACCCATGTTAGCATTGTCAGTGGAACAAAATAAAAAATAACGTGCCATTAAATACATTGCGACTTATCTGAAAGTTTGCAAAACATTGTAGTCTACAGTAATTAATCACAATGCGATGACATGTTAGCTATGGGCTTTGCCTCTGTTCTATAAGTTTGCATGTCAACACCGAGTGGAATGGGAATTCTTTGGTTTATGTCGTCGTGGTTCATGTAAGTGTTTAGCACGAGACTTACAGCTAAGGAGAACTTTAGACTGACCCTGTCCGATAAGCGATAATCTCCATGCTGTAATTTTAGGGGCAAAATTGTAATTTTTCGCATATTTTATTCGTAATTATAACCGTAAACGTAACTATAATTGTGCCAAATATCAGGTTCTACTCATTCTGTAACATTGACGAGAATGTGCGCTGCTCATTCACTCAGTCCTGCATTTGTATAATTGGTAAATCCACAAGCACCTGCAATCACCGCAACAACAAACATCAGAGGCGAGTCCCAAATTGGCTCAAACTTATGCATCACCGAAGCATGGTGGCTACGACTCGCTGCGCCATTCAACTGAATTCATGTTCGCTCCCTCCCCTCCCCTCATTTCTTTATCCTCGCCGGCGCTGTCCCCATCCCCCCCCAGGTCCAAATGTCGTGGGCACTGCTGAGACTCGGGTTACCCGTGGAGGGCTTCAGGGAGGGAGAGAGAGAGAGGGCGAGAGAGTGGGAGGGATCGTGAAGGGTGAGCTGGGGAGAGGTTTGTAGCGACAGAAAGAATCGATATCAGCAGGCGAGAGAGAGAGAGAGGCTGGAGGCAGGCAGCTTGCATGCGGCTTGACATCACTGCGAGCGTGGAGGCCAACACAATGGCATCTCGAAACAAAAGGCTTTGCCGGCTAGCGCCGTTACATCAACGCCATCCTTAACCGCGTTGCCCTTCTATTTTGCGACAACAAAACACGCGAACCGTTGTGTTGTGAGTGAAGACTTTATTATTTTTTGTTTTAGAACGCGGGCCACTGTTAAATGTGTTCAACAATAACTATTACTGTGTGACAGATCGCCTCTTGATTTGGACGCAAGGCAGCGTGGTCGACAAGTGGCTGCAGCCCCAAGACGCGGTAAGTGTGGCACCTTGCTCACTGCTACGTCCACACAATGTTTGCTTAACGCTGTTGCCTCGTCGGTCTCCCGTGAAGAATACAGTAGTACTACACTCGTGGTGGCCTCAATGGGATTATAAATACAGCTCGTCTCTCCTTCGATATCTGTAAGGGTCATGAACATTGTAGCCTCCTTTTGAAGGGCTGCTCTGCGCGGTCTGTACATCTGTCACGCGCTGGGCTGTCTCTTCATCCGTCTGTCGTGGCTTAAGTTTAATGAAGGCAGTGACAGTGAAACGATGATGCATCTATCCGACAATGAGGCTGTATATGCGCGTGGGCAGTGATACGAATCCGACAATGTAATTAAATTGTTTTTATTTGATTACATGAAAAAACTGGATTATGAATGTATGAAGCAACAGATGTCAGTCACGTGGGCATGTTTTACAACATATCACCCTTCATTCCTTAAATAGAAGCTCCTTGTTCAGCTGCTCAAACACAAATACGATTAAGGAAAACAACTCAATTAGTTCTGAGATAATCGCAGGTGCAATGTGTGTTTTAACTGCGGTACAATTTGTTGTGACTCCTAAACATGCACTCGCTTAATCATTCGGTAGGGTGAGCGATGCTGCAATTGATAAACCCTCAGCACTGCGAACCCCGTGACCAGAGTTGTTTGATTCTCAGCAATAGCGAACTATTCCTGGGTACCAGCCCACACTTCACTGCAAGTCTCCCTGTGACCAGCATGTTGAAATATGGTCAAACAAACATCCATAACCGACAGATGATTAATTGACATCGGGCTGTAAATGTCAATCACTTGGCATGCCGAGCTTGATTTGAAGCTTTCGTGACTGCAGGAATCCATACTCTCTGCTTCTTTCGGTAAAATCCCGTAGGTAGAAAAAATAATAAAGGAACACGACGTTTCGCTCGCAACACAAGTGTCCGTCATCAGGTGAGAAAGCATGATCTGCTGTTGTGGGGGGAAGGGGGGTTTGTAGAGTCGTGGCTGCAGGAGTTCACGACTCAAGCTCATGGATATGCTGATTTCTACAGCCTCACCGTCCCTGCACGCCACAAACCCTCCCCCTTCCCCTCTCTTGTGCCTATATAAAGCCACAACAGCAGATCACGATTTCTCACCTGACGACGGACGCTTGTGTTGCGACCGAAACGTCGCGTTCTTTTTATTATTTTGTCTATCTACGTGACTTCACCGAAAGCAGCAGAGAGTGTGTGTCGAGCTTGTTTAAGTCAGCTTGCCTTGCGCTAGTGTTGAATCCAGTGTCTCATTGCTCCCAGTCACTCTGGTTTCTAATTCAACGTTTGAATCTCACCCTTGCCGTTCCTTGTGAGTGTGGCTTCCAGGCTGTGCACCCACCCGCGTTAATAAATAACAAACACCTGCGTGTAACCTTAATGAGAAGGTTAATTATTCTGCTGAATTGCGTGCCTTCAAGGCATTACTGTAAATAGGTACTTTCAATGTGAACTTGGGTTGACCTTGTGTGATGTTTTAAATTGGTTACAAATGAAAACCTTTGTTCATATCAAGGCCGTAATTATAATACATATTGGGGGGGGGGGGGACACTTCCCCCCCCCCCCCAATATTCAAATATGCTCAAAATGTCCCCCCCAATATATAATAGATTTCTGTTTATATGATTGTGGTTATGGTTGTACTTTATTAATCCATAATCTCTGCCATTACCTACAATGAAACAAGAAAAGGTAAAAAAGAATTATTGTAAAAAATAAATAAAAATAAATAAAAAGCCCATCCCATGTGTTCGTGAATTTTTAAATATTTTAGGCAGGAAATGGCAGGAAATTCGTTTTCAAATTTAGATTTTTTTTTCTGGGGGGGGGACCCGAGACCCCCTGGAAAATTTGGTCCCCCCCAATTTTGACTCCATGGCTACGGCCTTGGTTCATATCCCAATGAAGAGCCCTCTGACATGAGACATCTCTTATAAAGTAGGCCTTAAAGACATTCAGTGAATGGGCAACTGTATGTATTGGTCTTATATTCCTGGCCATGGCTCGTGTCACTGGCGAGTGACATCTGAACTGGTCATAGCCCCCCCACCCTTTCACCAACTTGCCCTGACCAGTGCAGATGAATATGGTCAAATAACCCCAACGAGAGATACAGCATGGGGAGGCCTTCATTGACACAGGGCTGTATGTACATCGTGATGAAACAAATATATTTCACGGTGTACTAATTCATTGCGATGTGATATTGTTATAGTAGGAATACAGCCACAGGAGGCTAGTTAGGATGGCATAGGCAGCGTGATACCCGACTGAAACCTGAGCCAATGTCCGCGTGTACAGTGGCAGCAACCAGCGCGTGTCTATTCGCGACGCTTTCTCTCTCGTGTCTGCCGCGTGCACCGGCGATGTCTGGGAGGACGCACGCGGCGCGTGCTTTGTTTTGCCGAAACGATGCGTGAAGGCTAAAGCGCACGGGCACATAGATAATCTTACGACCCCACAAAAGCCGTGTTGTGTGGGGAGGGGGGGGATTTCGCGTAACGGTTGGCCGGACGGGGCTACCCATGTGCACGCATACTAATTGTGTGCCTGCATGTGCCGAATGGTCTCCGGGCGTAAGATTGCATCGCTGAGATAGACCACGAATTGAAAACTGCGGGGATTTGTAGCCGTCCGTTTTGAGTTATTTTTAAAGCTTCGTTTTTTCAGCACAAGTGCAGTACTGGCAATGTCAAAGGCAGTTCAGCAGTTTGCACTTTCCAATCATCTGCAGTAACTGCAGATCTACAGCTGAGTGTTACAGTACATGTTCATATCTGTCAACCACTTATCGGTGCCTACTTTATTACAGACCAATTCATACCTTATTGGTCACCCCGTCCCCTTTAAAATCTCAACGTTCATCCTACAAAGTCCCATCACAAGGAAGAAACACAAACAAATAGACACAACACATGTTGTGCCCTATTGAAACGGCTGTACGACGTATGGACTTTAAAACTCAATTTCCCTGCACAAGAATACGAGTAAACCATATGGTTTGGCCTGTCCGCATGTTTGTTTCTTTGTTAAACGTCGGTGCTCTCTAATATGTGAATGTAGCATGAGTGATTTTGAGGGCCCAATTTATTTGTGAATGTAAGGTCCATTTTCTGCCAATTTTCTGAGAAGAAATGCCAAAATTGCAGAAATGTGTCAACATTGGGACCCTCAGATTGCCATATATCTGCCGATAGTGCCTTTCTTGTCAACAGATGTATGAATTCCCCTCGTGTCTTATTGAACTATGGCGTTATGGTGCTGTCTGACAAAGCACTGTATTTATTTATGGTTTCTTAGGTTTTCTTTCCAAGCCTTTAAATTGTACAACCTGTACCCCCCCCCCCTTTTAAATAGATTTAATAAAGTTGCTGACTTTCATTTCTTAAGGAAGGTCATAGTGAAATCAAATTTAATTGAAAGTGTTTGAGGAACAATGTCAGCCTAATAATAATTTATTTTAATAATAAAAAAATGCAAACCGGCTTGTTTCTTACAGAAATGGCTACAGAGGTTACTCAAGAAGATGACTTGGCTGCCCACATAACACAGGTAACCTTCCTCTACTTAACACCTTCGCTCAAGGCGCTTAACGTAGTTTAGAAAACGGTAACAACAGAATAACTTACATGGCAAGGGGGTGCAAAGGCTGAGGAATGAGTGTCCTCGATAGAGGAAAAACTTAGGGGTCACACACGGGTATGGGAGGGACGGGAAGGGGTGGAGGGGCGAGAGAAGAGGAAGAGAATGGGCAGTAGAGTGGTGCTTTAGGAAGGGAACGGAAGGAGGTTAAGGATGGTGACTGCTTAATGTGTTGAGTGTATGGGCAGTGCTGAGTCTGTGGGCAGTGCTGAGTCTATGGACAGTGCTGAGTCTATGGGCAGTGCTGAGTCTGTGGACAGTGCTGAGTCTATGGGCAGTGCTGAGTCTATGGGCAGTGCTGAGTCTATGGGCAGTGCTGAGTCTATGGGCAGTGCTGAGTCTATGGACAGTGCTGAGTCTGTGGACAGTGCTGAGTCTGTGGACAGTGCTGAGTCTATGGGCAGTGCTGAGTCTATGGGGTTGAGTCTATGGGTAGTGCTGAGTCTATGGGCAGTGTTGGCTCTATGTGCAGTGTTGAGCCTATAGGCAGTGCTGAGTCTATGGACAGTGTTGAGTCTATGGGCAGTGTTGGCTCTATGTGCAGTGTTGAGCCTATAGGCAGTGCTGAGTCTATGGACAGTGCTGAGTCTATGGACAGTGCTGAGTCTGTGGGCAGTGCTGAGTCTATGGGCAGTGCTGCTCAATGTACAGGGGAAGTTGATTCCAGTGGAGGGGTGCAAGGAGGGGGAGAAGGGCCAGAAACGAAATTGGCACAGGGAGTAGAAGGTGCAGAGAGAGGGGAGATCCGTGTTGGGACGAAGAGGACTTGGGGGGACATGGCAGGAGATGAGAGAGGGGAGATGAGGTGGGGCAAGGCCCAGTGTTGGTAAAGATGAACATGTGAAAATAACATTAAGCTGAGCGTGACGAGATAAATAAGCAGACAGTCCAGCTCCTTGAACATATTTGTCTCTCTACATGAAAGAATAAAGGTATTGTACAATAACATTGCATGGCCTCCTGGGAGGGTGGATGAGCGCCTTCATCCAGCGGTAGATTTCAACAAATGTTTCTTCATTATTTTGGGCATACTCTATTCACCAAATCTCTGTTCAGACAGAGCTCTTCAAATAACAGAATAAATAGTAAGTTAACCGTTTGATTTAAACGAGTATGCTCAGAGACATATTTAACCTCCCACTCTGCAAACATTTAGACTGCCACTGGTATGTACACAACGTTTCAAAGAGGGCATTTCCTCAATCAGTTGTTCTTACTTAGGTCAGGTGAGAGCCCATGAAAGCAGTGGGTCTACGTCGGTTAAAGTACAGTCGTTTGATCTGCTGCTCACATAGAATCAGAGCTCCCAATGCAAAAGGCACAAGAGGGGTCGAGCACATGTTGGTCTACGCACCCAATTCTACCGAAGTTCGAGTCGTGGCTGTGGTTAGCGTGAGTGGAGAGTGATGCCCGAATCGGTCCTGAGCGCACCGCCTTCACCAGCCTGCGCTGACGAGCGTGGTGAAGTGTGGCACGGAGGGACCTTCACCCCCAAGTGGTTTGACGAAAGGCTGTCAATTATCGTTCTGTTTTATTCATTCTATTTACATGTGTATAGACGTTACCCCACATGCCTCGACAGTGAAGACACTTCACACGTGACTCTGCTGCAACTCTTCACTCATATTGGCACCACCTGTGCCTAGTATTCAGAGGAAGGGGAAAAAACAAAACCTTATATAAGAGACTCCGTCACTGCCCGAATGAAATGCAGCTACAGGCATCGTACAAAGTTAATCGATAAGTTTTGATGGCAAAGGTTTCAGTTACCAAACAAGGTTACTGCACAATATTGGATGAAGTGACCTCTTCTACCTGGGTATCCCTTCCAACACATCTGGCCCTGTTAGAAGTTCGAGCAGTGGCGTGAGCAAGCACTTGTAGGGCTGCGCCTTCACCCTTTTACCTTTACCTGGGAATTGCAAACGACAAAATCACCCGCAATGAGGCTGATCTCGTGAGATCTCGGAAGCCAAGCAGGCTTGAGCCTGTAGAGTGCTCGAATATGTTCCACAATGCCTAACAGAGGTTTTAGGCTGTGGGTTTATGTTGTGGGCGGCAGAGGGCAGTTTCAGCTGGATCAGTGTTTGTACTCTACTTCTATGCTCCCACTTCTTTATTTGCCACCGTCACCAACCCATACTGGCCGGCAATGGTGAAATCGTGGTCAAACATCCCCCACAAACCCGCAACGGGCATGGGTAGGGGGCCTTCTTCATCCCGGCAGCGGATTGACCAGCGGCCGTGCCCTGGGTCACGCGTCGGCAGCGAATTCTCTGCGGGTGTCACGGAACGGCCCCGCGCGGGCCCGTTCCGTTGAGAGCGAGTCGCGGCGTCGGGAGTGGACGTGTCTGAGCAGGTCCTACAGTGCGGTGGGGGGGTAAAGGCTTTGGGGAGGGAGTCGTGTGCGTGTGTCGTGCAGTCGCCAAACGTGGCGCCTTACTGGAAATGTGTGAAAAAGAGCTTCACGGCTCATCGGATTCCTCCAGCCCGAATCAAGATTGTGATTGTGACTCTGAAGAGAAAAGGAAGGCACGTGTTGGGTTACCGCCACGTCGCTTCTTTAAGCCGCTTGCTTGGCCAGAAGCTCAGCGATTGTACCATACTGCCTCGTGGCAACAATTCACAATCTCTATATGACGAGGAAAAACCCACGTCACGTGGACACATCAATAGAAACATGTTATCTCGCGAGAAACGCTGACAGGTTTAAAATAATTATTCCCATTAGTCAAGCTGATGGGCCCTCGAAGTGACACCATCATAATCAGTGCCATCAGCAGCCGTGGTCGATCCACTACTGGATGAAGGTGTCCCAAAGTCGTTGTCATCCTTGGTCTCGTGATGCAGAAATGTGTTTGGCTCTTGCGTGCAAGCTGAAATAGCCACAGAATAGCCATGCTAATTATTAGCCTACTGAATTGCACTGATTCTATGTTGCCATTTAATTTAAGGATCACATTTTTTCGTTTCATTTTTACTGTCACGTTTTCATTATTTATCCTGAACTTTTTTTTTACAACGTTGCACACTCCATTTGCCTAAACGTAACAATATTATGTCTATTTCATGAAATTAACATGAATCTTAAATGGCCGAATCTCACGTGCGTGATTCGATGCATGTTTTTGTTTTCACGAAACAATGCCATAACATACCGAGCGTACGATACGGACAGCTTTAGGGGTCGGCCATCAGAGTCGGTTAAGCTGGTTGCAAAGCTCTTCAGGAGTATGCTGGATATGCACGAGGGGAAGAAAGGGAGCTCACAAACCCGCGATCGATTGGCGATCGAATCTTCAGCAACCTCCTTGTCTGTGGAACAATACTCTTCTGCAGCACATTTTGGACTATCAGCTGATCAAGTCTTTTAGATCCTGTCTTGTAAGAGATTTGTTTCCGCTCGTATGCCACCTGTCTGTATAGATTGCGTGACTTTTATATAAAACACGTTCTTTTAGCTAAGGGATTGTTCCGCGTTGGGTTATTGAATGTAAAGCACTCTGAGGTCTTGTGTGAACGGTGCTGTTTCTAATATCGAGTTTTAGTTGGTTAGAAACACAGAGCAGCAACATTGTTTCTGGATGGGTCCTGAACATGCGACACGATACGCGTACGGTACGCGAATCGTTCCGTAGCTTTATAACTCGCGTCGAAACTCATGGGTTCCACATCACGCTTCTGCCGATGACCCCGATACTACGGTGGTTGCCTTGCGTGGCTCGTCTCGAGAGAGACGGGAAGAGAGAGAGACAGTCGTTTTAATAATAGAACATCTCCTGTTCACAAGGGGAGACCGGGGGATGAGGGGTGCTCTTCAGAGAGGAGGAAAGGAGAAAGGGGCCCTGCCTTGTTCCGCCGTAACCACTTGGGAGACGCGAGTCTCGAGAAATAAACGTGAATTGTCTTGCGCAGAAGACAAAAGTGTGTTTTTGTTTGGTGGCTGCTATTTAAATCGCCCCCCACCCCCGTCCGTTCGGTCTATGCTGTTGATGCCACAGTTTGTGTCTTCCAAGGAGCTCAACAAATTGGTGGTGTAGACCAGGGGTCGGCAACCTACGGCTCCGGAGCCGCATGCGGCTCTTTACGTGCTGCTTCTTGACGATATGTTCGTATGTACAGTATGTACTCAGATGCATTGCGGCTCTTGAAATACTGAATTTTGTACCGAATTGGAAAGAAATGGCTCTTCTTGTTATTTTGGTTGCCGACCCCTGGTGTAGACTGTAGACGCTCAGCCTTATTGCACGCCGTCCCCAAAGTCATGGTGAGCCCAAAGCTTCGTGATTCGCGTGTTGTTGGCATTATAAACAACCACTTGTTGGCCTGTGCAGAAGTAAATCGTGCATATACAGCTACTGGAGTGTCTATCCATGCCATGCATTTTGTTTAGCAAGTCATTGGGTGACGCTGCTGTTCCTCCTGCGTTAGCAGTGGTGCTAACGTGCTCACAAGTTCAAATGGATTTGTGTGTGCATTAGAATTGGCAACGTATTTACGATTCGTGCTAAATAATTTCCAATTACATTTAGGCGAATGGAACATGCAACCGTGGGGCCCATCGTCGGTGCAGCGGTTCCATGCACGTGTTCGACGTCTGGCCCAACATTGGCAGGTTTACTGTGGACTTAGAAGGGTGCTCTGTGAGAATGTGCCACAACACCGACGCGGCGCGGGGTGTGAATCCAGGAGGATGTTTGCCCCGCGGCTTCTGCACCATCACGTCGCCTCCTATGAAGAAGGAAGCCACGCTGGGGGTGGGGGGGGGGGGTCAGCATGTGAGGACTGTGCTGTCCTGCGTAGGCGACGATGCCGCCGGTAGAGCAAATCACCTGGACACCAGCGCTGCTCCCCAACACACACACGTGTGGCGGTAAGCCGCCACGTGTGCAAGTGTGATCAATCTCGCAGTGGGGGGCGAGGCAGAGACAACCTTGGTGTGTGAAGGGGGGGGCATAGCCAGTAATGGTCACGTGGCTTGCATGATGCGTGTACACGCTGTGAGTGTGATGTGTGTACACGCTGTGTGTGTGATGTGTGTACACGCTGTGTGTGTGATGTGTGTACACGCTGTGTGTTGTGTGTGTGATGTGTGTACACGCTGTGTGATGTGTGTGATGTGTGTACACGCTGTGTGTGATGTATGTGATGTGTGTACATGCTGTGTGTGATGTGTGTACACGCTGTGTGGGATGTGTGTACACGCTGTGTGTGGTGTGTGTGTACACACTGTGTGTGATGTGTGTACACACTGTGTGTGTGTGTACACGCTGTGTGTGATCTACTTCTACCCATGATGCTCTACAGCATCTCCAAGTGAATGTGTGAACTGATATTCATAGGGATGTGAAGTCGGTGATTACATAGCTGGGTGCAATGATTTTGCATCATGGGTTATGAACGCATACTGGCCACAACTAACACACTGGTGAGTGATATCTAAACTGATCCTGGTCCTCCACCCCCACTTACCTACTCTCATTGACCAGCGTGGTGAAGTATGGTCAAACAACCCCAATGACTAACACAGCATGGGGAGGAGAGGCCATCAGCCAACAGTGACACGACAAAAGAGATGTAACATAACATTATAAGCTCCACCGTATTTATTGAAATGTAGTTTCGAAGTTTTTTTTTCAATATGCATTTTATAAATCAATAAATATTTTGCCGTTCCAATCGTTTACAGTGCAGACGCACAGCGCTGCCGTTTAATGATCGCCGTCATGTCCCACGTTTTGCCCCACGTTGGGCTTAGTTCCTGAAGAAGCCCCGGGTACGTGGAAGCAAAACGTCGGACATTGTGGCAGACGCCACACTCGGTACGACCCGGAATTTTTTTATTAATAAAACGGCGACCACCAACGCATTAGCAACACAGCCGATGGCAGTGGAGAGAGCAATAGAACAAACCTGAGTCAGACTTCTCCTTTGAAATTGAATTATTTTCCTTCTCGGACCATTTCATTTAAAGTAAATGCCGCCTTCTTGGGATGGTGTTTTTTTTTGTTTGAAACGTTTTAGTCGCTGGAATATCACACGTGTTGCCTCGGTTTTATTCCACATGTGGTTAAGATGACACCGATAATAATAAAAAATACTTTCAACTTTGGCTGTGTAGCAATGGGTTTTAACGTATTTTGATTATCGTGCCAACACACATGGTAACCTGTTGCTTAGATGTTATTTTGGAGAAAAAAATGTTTTATTCACTATTACAAAAAGGAGACGACTTTATGTTATTCGTGTGTAAGACAAGTGCTAATTACGTGGAAACTTCCATGCAAACATTTAAAACGTTTGATCTCTTCATAAAACCTCCGGAAAGGTGTGTTCCTTTAATTTTTTTAGTGTGTTTTTTTTATCGAGGCAGTGTGCGGGACCGATAGATCACATTCTGACGCACGTATACACCACCAACATAAGCCAAACCGGTTGTGAAAAGCAGGGGATAGAAAGATAGGGAACAGGCCCGCTGCCCCAAACCATACAGGGGGGTCCCACCGGGTGTACTGCTGTGTTTAAACTGAATGGGCGGCGTGAGGCCCAAGCAAATGAAGCAAACATTTTAAGCCCCCAAGCAGCTCACGGGGGGGGGGGGGGGGGGCTCAGAGTCACGAAAAACTCATGAATCTGGGGTGCGCCAAATATCAACCCCGCTTCAAATCCTCATTAACACAACTGAACTGAAATGAACTAAAACACAAGTCCATTAACATAATAGGGTTTTCCCCCTTTTTTCTGGCAACAAAACTGAAACCTTTTAACAAGGATTCATGTCACTGCATTAAACACAATACTTGCAGTCAAAATGCAAACAAAAAACACACTTGTTTGCAGTCAAAATGCAAACAGAAAACACACTTGTTTGCATTTTGACTGCAAGTATTGTGGTTAATGCAGACATGAATCCTTGTTAAAAGGTTTCAGTTTTGTTACAAGAAAAAAGGGGGAAAACCCTATTATTATATTTTGGTACTGGCCAAGGAGGTCTAATGATGAAGTTCATTAACATTAAACGCCAATTAAGCTCTCTCATCTGGTCTGCAACTCTCTTATCTTATACCACTACATCCACAGTTTTTTTGATAATTTCTCCTGTGAATTGAAAGGGGGAGGGGGTGGGACTCATACATTATTTATGCTTGGGGCCCCGCAATGGGTTAGCACTGCCACTGATTACAATCGCCCGCTGGGTTTTCTGCACTTTGAGGAAATGAAGGCAAAGTAATTGGGCTGAAATTATTAAAACTATTATTAAAATAGAGTGACAAGTAAATTAGTATACGACGAGCTGTTATATCCCTCACCTGCTATGCTGGAGGTCGTGGGTTCGATCCCGACCCTGCTGCGTGCTGTGTATTTGGAGGTCACATGGTCTCTCTCCCCGTGGTCGCAGTGGATTTTTCTCTGGGTGTTTTGCACTCCACATAAAAAAAAAACATGCATTTAGATTATTCGGCAGCTGATATAAATTCCCACATGAAATGATGATATCAGCCATTTCGATTAGCTATCATGTGTGGCCAGGTCATCTCTGAAAAACAGCAAATAGTTCAGGTTGGTTAAAAAAAGAGATATAGTTAAGTAACTATATTAAAGATTATAGTTAAGTAAGTTAATTTCTCTATGTTTGTACTGCAGAGTTTGCCCAACCAGAGGCAAGACACCCAAAGGCTCATTATGACTTCAGGCAGACCACATGTGGACTGTGTCCAAATCCCTGCAAAGCTTGAAGTGTTTATTTAAATCCGGGCTTCCCAGGTGGATGGGTGGCTCAGGAATCAGAGTGCTGAGCTGGCACCCCCTGAGAGCCTGGTGGTGAATCTGGGTTCAATCCACGCTTGACTCAACTGGGTTTCATGGCTTTATGTCCTCAGCCTGGTCACCAATGAAATCCCATTACATTCTATTTTGTTTTCCTTTAATTTGTTGAATCTCAGCTTTGGGAACTAAAATATGTTGGTTTGACTGTCACGTGACATTTATTTCTAGCAGGGCACACAGGAAAGTGCAGCCCTTCGTGTGCTTCTTATAAATGTCACTCGTAGGCATTTCAGAAAGTCTTTCTACGGAGTCTTCCACGATGGCGTTTACTTATTTGTTTAGCAGGTGCATTAGAACTCTACGAGTTGTTCCAGCTCTACAGCATTCGGTCACCACTGGTTGTAACATTAGCTTCGACTGAGGGGGGGGGGGAGATGGGCAACTGCAATGCTGAATCCATTGCACCCCACCAAATCTCCCACCGTGATCCATTCTCTGCCACACGGAGTGATGGCATCGCTCGATGTGCGCTCCAAATGGACGCTTAATATCGTCACGTGAGGCGGATGGGAGGCAGATGGAAGACAATTGTGGAAACAAAACAAAAACACAGAAAACAAAACCAATTCTCGCTTCTTTACCTCTTTTCCTCTCCGCTGGGCTGGGTTGCAGCTGCACACGCTGGTGTCGGAGCTGAAGGAGGGCTTCACGGGCGCCGTGCAGGAGTTGGCTCGGATCCAGTATGGGGACTCGTACCTGGAGGAGAGGATTGAGCGCGACCGCGCCGAGTGCGCCCAGCAGACGCAGCAGCTCAAGGAGCTGCTGATGGGGCTCAAGGTGCCTCCCCGTTGCCGCCCGCATTAGCACAGCGCCAGGGGCAGCCAGCCACCCGGGCAACCAGCCAGCCAGCCAGCGCGACCGCCCGTGCACTGCGTGGCGTTCCAGCTGCCCTGTAAACACGGCGCAGATTTGTTGCCCTTTACAAAAGGCGAATAAGAAATTTCTATTTAAAGCTTTCGTGACTGCAGGGATTCATATTCTTGGTTCTTTTGGTAAAGTCACATAGAAGGGAAATAATAAAAATAAGAAAATCAACCGATTCACTCTTAATGCACTAAGCTTATCATATGTCTTCAAGATCACCGGAGATGGGCATGATTATTACTTGGATTGGAGACTGCCTCAGAGCATCGGTTGGTGTAGACTTGGGCTGTGAGGTAGCAAGGAGATGGAAGCCACAGCAATGGTTCCTGGATTTGATCTGTGTTAACCTCTAATTAAAATTTCCATATTTTTCCGGTGTCCTCCAATTCATTCTGATAATGCCACTAAATAATGGTGTTGGCCAAGCATCCCAATGCATGCAGGACTCTCCTGAAAAATAGAATCTTGACATTGAGTGAGGCTTCGTTTGGTCAAGCCACACCTCACCATCGCTTCCTTTCCTTCTACCAAATTCTTCAGAAATTTCACTGCCAGGGTGTGCTCTCAGATTCTCGTCCCGCTGATGGGGTTTTACATCCAGTTTGTGGCCATGTTTTTTTCTCTTCTCCTGTATTCGGCGGTACTGCTGGCCAACGCATCCGTTCACCGAGTCCGTTTGTTTCTGACTCTCACCCCGTTGTTGTCTAGGATGAGCTGGCGGACGTGGCGGTGCAGCTGCGGAAGGTGTCGGAGCGGCAGGCGAGCCTGGAGCAGCAGGTGGAGGCGCTCGCGAGCGAACGCTCGTGTGCTCCAGCGCAGCGGCAGACGCCCGTCACGCGCAGGTGACCAGCGGGGTAGAAAATTAGAGCTCGCTCCTCGTTTCCCCACATGATACCCTCGAAAGTGAGCCGGCTCGGTTTTGCAGACATCTCGGTGGAAAGATGGTACATACCCCAGGTCGTGGGTTCGATACCGGCCCTGACGCATGCTGTATATTTGGAGTTTGCGTGTCTCTCTCCCTGTGGTCGCATGGATTTTTCTCCAGGGTCCTCTGCTTTTTCCCTCCACATTTAGAAATATGCGTTTAGAGTATTTGGCTGCTATAAATGTCCACATGATAGGCCACTTCATTGGACATTCATTTGTGGCCAGATCGCTTCTAAAAGAGAGCTATATAGTTCAGTGGGGGCCTTACCTGGTAAAATAAAATGAAAATAGTTTTAGGCCTGGGATTACCCCTCTGACCCGCGTTTTGGAATTTGTGCTCACTTTTGGAATACGCGATGCAACTGTAAAAGGCACTGGAACTGCAGGAATTGTGTTGTTCTTGTTGAGAGTTGCCACTCGCTGATAATTCATTTTCACTCTCTGATTTTGGCAGCTTAACTCACCACTTTCATGACTTGACGAAACGTCACCGACACTACATTTGGCAAATTCCGAAAAATCTGCATGAGATGGTCTGCTACCACAGACTGAGAGAGAAACCTTCCTGCCCTTATTATTAAGTGACCGTATGACGTTTGCGGAGTCTCTGAATGTGTTTTTTGGGTTGTACCATCGAGCGTGATGTCTGACGTTTCGCTCCCGGGCATAGAGCAAAACGTCGGACATTGTGCCGTACAACATGCGGTGCAGACTCAAAAGGCACACACACACATCGTGAAAACCTACACAGTGGTCTGCTTGTGGGGAGTCTGCTGTCTACAGGGCTACAGGAGAAGTCGATTCAAACTTCACAACTATGGGCGAATCACAGAGGGGAGGGGCCACTGTTTCTGCTTAGCTTTTGATGCACATTCACGCGTGGATAATCAGGTCCAGATGCAAACAGTAGTTGTCAGGATTAGACTTCGGCAACCTCAATAAAACGCAGCTTGTCCAAGCACAGAGCAGTGAGCACTTCATCATTAAATCCTCTTCACTGCTCGAGAAACTGTGTCAGAGCAAGGGGCTGGTCCTGCATTTGAGTCCACGTTTCAGCCACACATGGCCTCACTCAACCTGTGCAAAAAAAGTCATAGTATTAATTAGTTGTTTTACTTTATTCAGTTACGCCAGTGTTGGTTGAAACGGGGTGTGTACTCTTTGCCGGATGCTAAAAGTGTGCCACGAGTATGGGTAAAAGAGGCCCGATGAAGTGACATCAGAATTACTTCGATGTCATCTTCTGAGCGTATTCGACACAGGATGGTGCACCGGTAGCTGCAAGAGTTCACAAAAATGTAAATTTCTTCTTCTCATAACAGCACGCCAGCAGCATAATTTGAAAATAGACTAATAATGTCATGCCAGTGCTCTCCACATCTTGTCACTCATGGAGGTTGTTTGACCAGAGTTCACCACATTGGTCAGTGTAAGTTGGTGATATCTGAACTGGCCCAGAACCAGCTCTAATATTATTTGGCACTAATTGTCGCCTATGGGTGGGAATCAAATTCACACCGTTTGGTTCTTAGCGCAGTGTTTGATCCACTGCCCCACCACTCCCATCCCAGTTGGAATAACAAAGAAGGTAAAGGTGCAGCTCTGAAATTGTTTTGCTCACACCACTGCTAGCAGAAGGACCTCTGCTCAAGGTAGTTCTAGACAGTTCATTTAGAGCAGCGCCTTTCAATCATTTTCAGAGGGGGGCAACTTTCGCCGATTAGACATCAGTGTGAGGGCCGCCACACACTTGAAACCATTGGGTTTGGCAGCACGATGGGCTGTTTTCACATTTGTGTCTTGTTCGGGGTCACACTTCAGGGATCACCGTAAAGGTCAGCAGGGGCCGGCAGTGGTCCATGGGCCTTGCAACGAAGAACACTGTTTTTAGAGAGTTTTAGATGTGAAAATAATATTTGAAAAAGAGAAGCTGAAATATCAAAGAAGCCAGTTTGAAGCTTTCTTCCTTGGGCCCACATCTGGTTGGGCCTCAGCCAGTGGCAGCCTGGTGGGTAAATATATTGGAGGGAGTGGGGGGCGTATGCGGTTTACAATGTTTATAATGTGCATGCGAGTCTTGCTACAGTTTTGTTTTGTTTCACCAGTGGGGCCCCAGGCCTCGCCACCCGCTCATGGCGAGCCATCCCAGCCGGCAGCGGCCTCACCGCTTGTCCTCTTGGCCCCCCCCCCCCCCCCCCCCCCGCTCAGGGCTCTGTTTGCCGGGGCGGTGGCTGCCGCCGCCGCATCGGCAGCCGCGGCTGCGCCCGAGCTGTCCCCGCGCTCCAGCTGCAGCAGCACGGACGCCCTGCCGAGCGGGAGCAGCGAGGTGACGGCCGACAGCGGCGTCCACTCCGAGGAGCCCGGCTCGCTCTCCTCCTCCTCCTGCCAGCCAGGCGTGCAGGTGAACTCCACCTTCCCCCCTTCCCCCACGCCCCTGCGCTCCTCCGTGCCTCGGTTCAGTCGGAACGGTCCGGAACGGGCACAACCCTGGGGATTATTTTCGGCACGCCGTAGCCAATGTGGTATGCCTCATTTCCCGCCCCCCATAATCATCATTAAACTATTTTTTATTTTACTAGGTAAGGACATTTTAAAAGCAGAACAGGTATTTAGCAAACACCGATGGTTTGTCCCTCTTGCACTTCAAAGGCCTATTGTGATTCAAGGTTGTGATTCAATGACAGAAGTTACACGTTTTATATTGTGGTTAATGCAGCGACGTGGTGGATGGAAAGGTCACGTGAACCAATTACATACAACATCCATTCTTTCATACCTATTCCATGCACTAATGTTAATCTACGCATTGTTAACACCACTGCCAGATATATCTTCATCATCATCACGATCCAAGGGCAGATAGTTCGTAGGTGTCCACTGCCCTCTGTCTTGTGCCAATCGGCTCAAGTAGTGCCACATCTTTCCTGCACCAATCTATGTAATCATCAGCAGATGTATCACAAATAAATAATAAATGTATCTTGTCTCCGGTTTGGCATACTTCATGTGCCACATGGCTGATAATATATTTACATTGTACAACGTGTGCAGGAGCAGTGCACTGTATTTGACCGCGTACTTTCACTTTCTCTTGGGGAAATGTAAATGCCACTTAATGCCATGCATCTCCGGCAGGAGGCACTGCACAGAGTGCTAGTTTTCCGCTAGACCAGGGGTCGGCAACCTACGGCTCCGGAGCCGCATGCGGCTCTTTACAGGCTGCTTCTTGACGATATGTACAGTATGTACTCAGATGCATTGTGGCTCTTGAAATACTGAATTTTGTACCGAATTGGAAAGAAATGGCTCTTTTTGTTATTTTGGTTGCCGACCCCTGCGCTAGACGGTGGAAAGAGGTCTTCTTAGCCAATAACCTTTTCGTCTATTCCAACCTATAATAATATTGTGGTGTATGTACTTTTAATAAATTGCACAGCAGCAACCTCTATAACATACCATCGTTGGTATGTTATAGAGGTGGCCGTTCTTTTCTTAAAATAAAACGTGAGAGTAGGTAAAGAGGAGGAGAGGGTGTGGGGGGGGGGAATGGCTCACACACAGGAGGGCTTGGAGTTGCGATGGTTGGTTGGGGGACATTTGTGCCACTTTAACGCAATAAATATTCTTTGTTGCTATGGACAGATCTACCAAGAATTTCAAGCAACACCCGGTTGCTTTGCCGTATGAAGGAGGTGAGACCTGCAAAGCTCGGCACCGCAGAGAAGACGAGGACGCGCCACAGGCACACGGCAGTCGGCCGCTCCAAAGAGAGGACTCAGCCGGCTCGCGAGCAGAACTCCGCAAGCGCAAACGGCTGCGGCAACCCCGCGGAGAGCCGGCCTCTTCTGCTGGCGAGGCGGCCGAGTCGGCGCGAGGAACCCCCACGAGGATGCTGCCCGGCGACCGCAGCGACGGCGGCACGGGCGCCAGCAACGGCCACCCGTCGGCGGGCCGTCCCGGCCTCAAGGCCAACTCGGACGCGAAAGCGACCAGAAGACGAGGCGGACGACGACGACGACGACTCCATGCGGGACGCTTCAATTCTAGACTTCCAGTCCGACGACGCCTCGTCAACCTTCGAGTCTCGAAGCGAACCTCGGCTCAGCCGGCTCGGGCCGCGGTCTCTCCGCCGCGCGCCAAGTACGGCGTGCTAGGCGATGGGGACGGGACGGACGGCGAGAGCGCCCGCCGCCTCCGCTTCCCCCCCGCGGAGGTCACGTCCAGGCGGAGGCCACCGCCGAGGAACGGAGGTTTGGCCGGGCGGCTGTCGAGGTTCGGCGTGTCGGAGGAAGACATCCTCGCGCGTTTGGAGAGCGACCACGGCTACGCGCAGTCTCGCTTCGCGCGCTCCCTGGCTCGCAGCCGGACTACGGAGAACCTCGCGGTGTGCGTGGCCGATGTGGACCCGGATCCCGTGGGGCAGCGTGCGCCGGACGGCCGGGGGTGTGCTGCGGACGGCAGCGACGGGACGGCGCGCGCGGCCACTCCCACGCGGGGTGGAAAGTCACAACAGCGGCCGGCGAGGAATGACGACGGCCGCTTTGGGCTGAGGGACTCCCTGCGGAAGCTCTTCAACAAGAAGAGGTGAGGCTGATGGTTAACACACAAAAAACACCCCCGAATTTTCTCCCGATTGTGCTGTCAGCGTCATGAGATGAAATACCCATCCCACGTTTAGGAGTGCGGGTGTCACGGAGATCCCTTCGAGTGACCTCAGGTCCAGAGAGTAGAGGGCAGTACTTCACAACACACGCCCTGCCACCGAGACAAACGTTCATCGCAGATCAGCCAAGCTAATATTTGAATTCCCACGACCAAATTACGCTCGAAGCAAAATAATTGTACGAGATGCTTTTTTTGTTGGCAATCAATGGTGACTCACTGCACTTGAGAATCCAGTTTAGTTACTTGCGGCTGCCCAGAATCTCAGTGGTGCCAGCTCAATGCTATGACCTCTGAGCCAGCGGGCCACCCCATAGGCTCTGCTGACGAGGGCGTCACGGTGGAGAGATTGTTCACTCCCTCGCCTGGTGGACATGAGGTTGTCGGTTCGATCCCTACCCTGACGCCTGTATATTTGGAGTTTGCATGTTCTTGAGGTCCTCCGGCTTTCCCTCCACATTTAGAAACATGCGTTTTAGAGTATTTGGCTGCTATACATTTCCACATAATGAGCCACTTCATTGAGCTATCATTTGTGGCCAGGTCGCTTTTGAAGAAAATAGCTGTAGAGCTCAGTGGGTCTTACCTGGTAAAATATTTAAAAGTTTACTTTATAGTGTTTGTCAGTTCAGCGCCAGAGTGTGTGTAAGGCCATCGTTGAGCACAAACACATTTCTCCCCGACGTAAATTGGGAGGTCATTTTGCTGCTGGATGGTGGCCTCTCCATGTTGTGCATATTGTGAGAGATGTTTGACCATACTTCACCATGCTGGTCAGTGGAGATTGGTGCAGGGAGCATAAGCGTGGGAGCATATAAATACAGTACAAGTATGGATTTGTCTGTACTGTCCTATGCTTGCCACCACATAGCCCCACATCCTATAACACCCATCCAAGCACGAAACAGGCTCGAATCTGCTTAGCTTCTATGATCTGACAAGACTGGACACATTCCAGATGTGCGTGTCTCCAGTCAATATGACAGAAGATGTTATCCAGATAGTAATTATCTTGTGCATTTCCAGTCGCTTGGGTCATATGCAAATTTAGAGGAAAATAGTTTAGATGTATTTATTAATAATATACATCCTACACAGACAGAATGTAGAATAAGGAGTGGCGTTGTAGCTGGCATATTCTTGATGTTTTGTGGCATGGAACCAGCCTGATGACTGCAGAGTCACGTGATCTGCAGGATCACACCAGGCACCTAATCCACCCACCGTGCGTAGTCAGCCGTGCTAGTCAGGCATGCCTGTTCCTCCCCTCATAACACATTCTTGTTCTGCTGCTCCTGTTAGTGAATACTCACAGAATATGTGTGTGCCCACTGTCATTCCGATTAGCACGGTTAGCTATGTACGGCGCAAAAGAAGTTCAACATTCGTACAAACATTCGCTGGCACTTCAATTTAATTATCAGCCAGGCAGAGAACTGAGCCAGCATAGCTGTAAACCCGAGCTCAAATTCAAGTTATAGCCACCTGTGCTTAGACGATGCTCTCTGTGTTAGTGAGTTGAAGGCACCAGCCCAATAATCAATAACTACACAAAAATCCCCATCATCATCAAATTAGTTTAGTACTTAATTGGTCAAATTCTGGGCCTGAGAATTGAAAAACATTGCTTTGAATGCCATGTGACGAAACATGTTTTGTCAGGCTGTGTGGGGAAGTAAACCCTTTAGTGTTTAGATAAAAGGTTACTTGTAACGATGCCATAATTAGTTCTGCGATATCACCTTTCATGGGCCATATCGGAACGGTTACCTTGTCTCATTACATGATGCCCATAGCACGATCGGAATCAAATTGAGAGAAAGTAATACAAAATTATAATCAGTTGACCACAGAAAAATGTATGTCACACTCATAACAGTGGCTGTTGCCGTGGTGCAATGGTTTGCACACTGCAATCCACAGGTCACCTTTTCCATTTGTTCTCTTGGCGTGCCACTGCCTCTTTCCACTCAGGAGTATAGATGAGTATAGCACCATGGATTGGCATGTCTTGCATATGGTGGGGTAAGGTGTTGCTACTCCTGCCTCTTCCAAGACGTGCATGAGTAGGCAAATTAGCCTCTAGATGCGCTTCAAGTAACTTACTTTAGTCGAGGCCCTTTCATCAGCGATGGTGTGAGTATAGCAGTCCCACCCATAGCGATGGTGATGATGATGTTGTTGATGATGTTGATGATGTTGATGATGTTGAACGTTTGTGTTCAAAGCTCGACCGTGCGCTTTGCGGATCCGCCTGTCAGCCGACCACGGAGCAACACGCCAAGCCGAGCCCTGGGGATTGGAAACCTGCGCATTGAGGACTTTCTCGACTGCGGGGAGCCATGCAGCGCTGTGTGACAAACACTGACGCAACAGAATCGCTCCGCGAACATTTTTGTCTTTCGCTCAGTGAAGATCCAAGGCGGAAATCTGCGTGTGTTTTGACTCAACGGAATGAAGATTTTCAAAACAGTGCACACTGCAATCACAAATGCCACCACTCACTGTGTATAAATGTACATACGGGTACTGTAAAGTATATCTTGCGTAGGGTACTGCACGTATAAATTATTCCACCATCGGCTCGTGGCTTCGGTCGTGGGAGTCTACGCACACCGCCTCGCGTTTTCAAGTCTCGGGTGACACGTGTCTGTGGATTCATCTCACAGTCGTGATGTGAAGGTGATCTTCTTTCATATGGATTAATAACAGCGGATTAAAGACGTAATGTTAGATTTGTTAGCCACTCAATTTTCTGTTCAGACAATGACATTACCGTACAATCATTATGTTTTTGCTGCTGACAACACAGACCCACAAGCATCCCTACAACAGCCGTATGCATGGTGGCCGCACATCCAGGCACTATCCAGGCTGAAAATCACGCTCAACCAGGACGCACTCTGCCCCTCTCGTTTGAACCAGAAAGCCAACAGCTGTGTGCGCCGTTCCCCTATGAATGAGGTGACTGCCGTAAGATGGGGGGGGGGGGGCAGCAGCCGTGATGAGCGGTGCATCCCGTAGGGAGAGAAAGGGGGAAGGAAGTGATTGCTTCCCAGCCAAGTGTGCCGTGAATATAGCGACCGATTGTAGAATGTTTCAACTTGTGAACAGCGGGCGGGCGAGAGGACTCACACGGACTAAACACGCTGCCCAATCTTGATTGAGATTTTCTGGCTTTGAGCCCAGGTCGTGGTGTTTGTAATAAATAAATAACACGGCTGTATTTATATAATACAGCTGCTTTTTACGCGATCTAACACCAAAACCCCCCTGTATTATGGATTATATTGGTCACGAAAGATTACGCGTTAAACTCCTGGATTCCTACCCACGCAATCATACACTGGGTTTCCATGAAAGGGTAGGAGCAATTACTAATTTGAATAAAATAATATAAATTGTTCGGAATTATTTAACTTTGAAGGCTACTCCATCATGGATTTAAAACCTCGTCGCTCTGTGCTCAGTGCATTTATTCAATAAAAGCTAAACATATATGATACAGTACGCCATAAAAAAAAATTGTATGCAGCTTGAAGGTGGGATACTTTTAAGGAAGTGTATATATTATCTCCCCGATTGCGTTTCCAAACGATTTTCACGTGAATAAACAGGAACTTATTGAAACAAAAAGTGAACTGAAACCCAGCAATGGGTTTTAGGAAAATACGCAGTTCCCTTTTGCTGCAGCAAGATAGCCATTGATTGTTCCTGGCAATGTTGCTTGTAAAATCAATTCTAATGGAGAGAAAAAAATATCGGCTTTTTTCATTACGCAGGGCTTTTACCGCCAATATGATTCATATTCGAGTTTTGGGTTAAGTGGCGTAATTTGTTAAATGTGTGAGGATGCCCTCCAACACACCCCGAGTGTGCTGGCATGTTTGTCCACGTGACAACTTCATTTGTTTACCTGTGCCAGGTGGAGGAGGGTGCACGACAGACATTGGCATTTTACTCACGCGTGGCTATCTGGCCCAACAATCAATAATGAATCATTGTGGTTCAGGTTCATATATTTTTTAAATAATACATTTTGTGCACCTTACTGAAACTTTCGTACCTTGTATTTTGGTAATTTATATATATACATATGTATAAATGAAACCTTAACGGGGTCAAGTGATAGGCACCTTATTAGGGCTACCTGTAAACAAAGTGGCGCAACAATTGAACTTGAAACGTGATTCTGCCTTGGCCAGACTGTGACTCGTATGTCAGTGGAGGAAGTTTTGTATATTGCGGTCTGCATATATGTTCAATACAAGTATAGCCATTTTGTCAAGTCTACTGCTGGATGACGATCTCGCCATGCCTTGCGGGTCGTGGTGGTTATATGACTGCGTTTTACCACGCTGACGAGCGTGGTTTGATTGAAACGACGAGCCGAGACATTGCAGCATAGGTAATTAACAAGAATGGATTTTTATTAACTTGCCCTCTGATGAAATACCATACTCATATATGTAACATAACTCTATCAGTACAAAAACACCCACATGGGAATCTGCATCATGTTACTCTGTGTAGCGGTTACCACACTACACGTGAGCACTGATGTAATCGTTATTTTCATACTCAACACTGTCCAAACACCAGCGTTTGGTATGCCCTTCTGGGTGCATAAATACAGTGACCATTACTGTCAAACCAGATTTCACCAGAATGTATATCACAACTTAACATGCTTGTTCATGACATTAGAAAATGCAATGTCACTTTACCTTTTTTGTTAAAAAGATACTCGATGCAGTCTCGGTTATTTTAAGCTGTTTTTAATCAAGGGCTTGCAAAATTTATTTGGATAATTTTTTAAAGGTGCGCCGTGTTTTGTATGTTTTGTCGAAAGGGAAATAAAGATTGTTTGATGGCGGGCCTTCCAATTTGTTTGCTCTGTTGTGTTAGATTTAAAACTGTGTGCCATAGTCAACGTGTACTTCATGTAAGTGATAAACCTCAACACATTCATCAACACTGCTCTCACACTGAATGTGCAAAACACGACGTTTCAGGCAATGGCCCTTCTTGGCGCCAGCAACGTTGCCTATTATATATTTTTCCCTTTGACGGCAGCATTATTGACGGACTTTGTTCCGTTTTTTGCTGTTTGTGCTTGTGCACCAATGCCACCGCAGTGCCTCAGTGTTGTTTATATGTTCTATAGACTACTCTTGTACATACCAATGAAACAAACAACTGCAAAACGTGTGAAATCATTACGTTCAGCTTTTTGTCAATTCACTTTGTTGATTGAGGCCTCCCCGATGCTGCGATCTTGCTCATGTGGTTGATTGTCCATACTTCACCACATTGGCCAATGCAGATTGGTGAGTGATAGGAGGGCCGAAATTATAGGTTCAGACACCACTCCCCACCGTTAGCAATGGCCTGGAATCGCAGTGCCGGTCACACGTTTCCTCTCGCGGTGTGCAAGCCACTTTACCACTGGTTCCGCATAAAAAAAGACTATACTACAAATATTAATGTGGTTCTTGTTTTGCAGAACTATCCCCATGCTTGGGATATATTAAGACTCTTGTGGCCCATTGAAATATGTGGGCTAACTTGCTTTTGTTCTATTAAACATTACGCTTTGAGCCTTACCGTCATCATTGTCATCAGGCATTGCCTATCCGCTGCTGGATGAAGGCTTCCCTCTGATATAACTTATCCCACAACGGGGAGGGGCTGGGGGCATCCTGCAATAGGGCTATTCCTCCCTTCTGGTAATTCTGGTCGAGAGCCATCACAGTGATAACAACGTTCAGTGGGACACCGTGCACGCCGTAGGGGGTGCACGTGCGTTGCATTGCCGCTGCAATACTTTGGTCCAAACAAAACGCTGTCTGTGGCTTGTTCCCCAAAAAAATGCACCTGGGTAAACTCTTTACAGCTGTTTTAAAATTAATCGGGCCTGCTGATAACTACTCTGAGTTTCTTCCTCTTTAAAAAAAACCACGTTAGGCAAAATATGATCTGTATGGGCTCTTGTTGACCCCTACATGGCTATGAATATGTTAAATGATGTTTAAGCAAAGGCATAACTGCATCACTGTACGCTCGTTGAGACATAGTGAAAGGTGCCTAATAAGTGCAACTTATTGCATAATACAAGGCAGCTGCGAACCAATTACATAGGGTTTCACTTTCATGAAGAATCATCAGGATAGCAAAGCCTTGTTATTATACTCTGTGTTCCATTCCCGGCTATGGTGAGCATCAGTGGTGAGTGATATAACCCCCCGCCCCGCCTTCATGAAGCCACCATTACCAGTCTGGTGAAGTTTGCTAAAACAACTCTCATGGCTGATATGGCGTGGGGGATCCTTCATCCAGCATTGGATTACTACGGGACTGCAAATTCAATGAATACCGTATTAGAGGCATGCAACTAAATAGGGAATTATCACAGCCCACCATCTGTTCAAGTGCATGTCTCGAACTGACCGACATGAGTTTGAAGCCCTATCAACGATAACACACATGCAGGGATTCTGAAATGCTTGTCGGCATGCGTTTGTCTGGGAATGTGCAATACAAATTGTTTAAGCGCAGTTGCCGGACAACAAACAGCGCCATCAACGTTGCAAGTGATAGAGTCAGCACGTTTTTACTGAATTGAGCAAGATTGAAAGAGCTTGGGGACAGAGGCAACGTGGAGCATTTTTGAGGGAAGAAGCAGAGAGAGAAATGCTTTGACCTGCAGTGTGGTGAGTGAGTGGGTGAGTGGGTACGTGAGTGAGTGGGTGAGTGGGTACGTGAGTGAGTGAATGAGTGAGTGGGTGAGTGTGTTGTTGTGGCCTGCAGTGTGGTGAGTGGGTACGTGAGTGAGTGAATGAGTGAGTGGGTGAGTGAGTGGGTGAGTGGGTACGTGAGTGAGTGGGTGAGTGGGTACGTGAGTGAGTGAATGAGTGAGTGGGTGAGTGTGTTGTTGTTGTGGCCTGCAGTGTGGTGAGTGGGTGAGTGGGTGAATGAGTGGGTGAGTGTGTTGTTGTTGTGGCCTGCAGTGTGGTGGTTGAACAGAGTGTGGATGAGGCAAATAGTCAGTCTGGTAGTCCTCAGAATGGGTGGAGGAATCGGTGAGTGAAACTCACGAGAACGGTAACCGCTGTAGTAGCTGTAGAATAGTGATAAGGGGGGGGGGGGGGCTGACCGCAGGTGATCTAAGTGACTGCAGTGAATCAGTGAGTGCTGGAACATCAATCAACCTGACCACATTAGGTTGAATTATTTACGTGGCAATTTAATTTTGTAGAGAGCATGCGCAGGTTAGATTATATTGATCGCTGAGATAAGTAAGTGGTCTTGGGCAGGACACGTTACCATGGCACCTTTCGACGCGTATTTTACATGTATTGCAGAGCTTGGGTCAAACCTTGGATAAATGTGCCTGGTTGGAGCGTGGTCAAACAAGCCTCGATAACCCGCATGGCGTGGAAGAGGCCTCCATCGAGCAGTGGATTGACAAACACGCGCAATCCCATTGCCTTAAAACATGTCCCTTGTTACGCTTCCTTTGAAATCACAATGCGTTTGCTAAGCTGTCTCTGTTCTTTATGACTTGCAGTTAGCATGTGCCATATGTCCTCGTCTGTTTACATACTATTGTAGTCCAATAGCCACCCTCAATTTACTTGTTGATGGGTTTGTATCTTAATTTGACTCTGAATGTTTTTTTAAAAATATCATTTGCCCAAGCCAACTGGAAATCCATTTTATTTAACATGTTTATTGTTCTGTTCATGCACTGTTTTAGATTGATTTTTGCTGCTGCTTTCTATTTGCTTGCTTGTGGTGCCGCCCGGAGTTTTTTTCATGCTATTTGTTTTGACGTTTCGGTGACCCAGGTGATGATTGTAATTGTATAACCAAAACGTGATTTTGGTTATACAAAATCACGTTTTTTGTACTTTAACCTGACATGTTCACCCAATGACAACGTTGCTATTATTATTGTTCGTTTCGTGGTGGTGACGATGCTGCTGCTGCTGCGTTGCCAGTGGCGCAGAAGCACAAACAGCGACTAAACCATCAGCACGTAGGCAACGTTTCGTGTCAGGGCCCTCATTAATAGCCAAAGATCAACTCCAAAACTTAAGGGGCCGTGGACAATTACAGCCAACGTGAGTTAACCGTGGACAATTAGACCCAAGCCGAAACATAACATATTAAAAATAATGTTTAATTTGTTTTAAATGATGGAATATAGTATTGTCATCAGTACGACATAAGTATATCAAGTTTGCAGTCGATACCACATTGGGAAGTGGGTTAAAATTGAGTTACAAGATTTTAGGATACAACAACAGAGTGAGTAACACATCCCTGCGGAGGGAGCTGGTAGGAACGTTGGGTTGCTCGGTCAATGGTCAGGGTCAACGGCGGCGTGGTGTATTCCGCAAATATGCCCGACTGTGAGGGCGGGCACAAGCCGGCGTGAGTAGGTTAAACGTTGAGTTTTATAAGGGCACCACGGGGTGACCAGCCCCTCCCCACCCAGCCCCACCCCTCCCACCCCCCACCCAGCCCCACCCTCCCCACCCAGCCCCTCCCTCCCCACCCAGCCCCACCCCTCCCACCCCCCTCCCAGCCCCTCCCTCCCCACCCAGCCCCACCCCTCCCACCCCCCACCCAGCTCCTCCCCACCCTCCCCACCCAGCCCCTCCCTCCCCACCCAGCCCCTCCCTCCCCACCCAGCCCCACCCCTCCCACCCCCCACCCAGCCCCTCCCCACCCTCCCCACCCAGCCCCTCCCCACCCAGCCCCGCAAAATAAATAAATAAACCCGGAATATGCAAATGACCGCCTAGCACGTGACGCTGGGTGACCACGCCCCCGTTGCCCCCCCCCTCTCCCCGGGGGACGGAAGTGACGTCAGGCGCACTTTAACAAAGTTGGTGGCGCTCGACGCTCGGCTGAGGACGTGCGGTGGCGGCGGCGTTTTTTGTTATTTTCTCTCTCGGGGCCGCTACGAAAGCTATCGAACAAGCGGCAGCGAGCACATGACAAGCAACAACGCACGGGACTACGAAGCGTTCGTGTTGTTTTGAGTGAGCGAGCGAGAGAGAGAGAGAGAAAAGAGCTGTAATTTTTTGTTAAAGAAAAAATATGACGTCCAAAGTGTCTGGGAGTTTGGAAATATCGAAGAAGAATCCGCACGATGACTTCGAGCTCATTCAGAGAGTTGGCAGCGGCACCTACGGGGACGTGTACAAGGTGCGTACCGCCATGGGCGACAAAGCGCTTCGGAGCTCTTCGGATTTGCCCGCTGTACACGCGCACACATTGTGGCTTGCTGGTGCTGTTCGTGGTGTCCCCACGTCCTCCCGATGTGCGAATGAAGTTGATCTCCACAAGTTGATCTCCACAAGTTGATCTCCACAAGTGTTGTTGTTACAATGGTTGTGGTCACCGGTGTCATCGCTGCTGCCTTGCGACTCTTCTACTCAGTAACTCAGCCGCGAACGGCGCTCCTGTTACAACTACAGGGGCGCTTACTGTGTTGTTAGAGTCACTTTGATATCGTTGTATATTCTTGGTTCTTTCGGTAAAGTCACGTAGAAGGGCAACACTATTTTGTATTATTTTTTTATTATTTTATTGATTCTCTTCTACGTGACTTTACCGAAAGAACCAAGAATATGAATCCCTGCGGTCACGAAAGCTTTAAATCAAACTTTGATATCGTTGTTATCGTTAAGTGTCGTAGCTGCTTTGTCTTTACCGCAGCTGTTGTGATTGTTGTGAACCCAAGTGTCACTTGCTTGGGTGCTTCGAACGATACCATCATTAGAAGTTGAACAGAAATTATTGGGTGGTGGTGGTGATGATGGTGATGACCCATTGGCAGTGGTGAACAAGTGTATAA